ATTAAATTATGCACGTTATGTAAAAGCAATTGTATACGATTTGTGTTTAAAACTTTAAAATAAAAATGGGAATAAATGTTTAATATTTGCACACACAAATTACATATTGCGAATGTTAGCACTCATAATCGAAGATGTTATTTGATGAAGACCTTAATTAATAATTTAAAATATTTTCTATAATGTAATGAGATGTTCATTAGGAGTTTTGGACGGGGTTTTCTAAGCACTCGGGGATATCTTGGAATAGGATATTGTAGGCAGGAGCGAGGGGATGCTACAACAATTCGTGAATGGCCCGTGGGAAGTTTCCTCGCCACACTCGGTTTCTTTCAAAATTAAGAATCTACAATATACGAGTATAATATTTTTTTATAAGATTAAAACAAATCAAGAAATTTGCCTAAACGTCGTAATAATAAAAAAATGGTTGAGGTATTTTTTCTTACTTGCATTTATTTTTGTGATTGCTGTTTATCTATGAGAACGCTAAAATTTCGGATTGATACAATTGCATAATACATAAAATACGAAAATATTGATTAAAATTACTTGACTCTTTACAAAATACGGAACGATAGAATAAAAATTAAAAGCAAATGAACTTAAAGGAACAAGAACAAAATTTATAAGAAAATTATAAGAACTTTTAAAGTAAAGCCATAAATAATTTATAAGCGACTGCATTGCATACAATAGGGGAGATTATATGATGGCACCATATTTCGGATGTCGAAGTTTCGGCGGAAATATATTTCGTTATGCTAGGGAAGCGTAATTAGACTTTTTTTAGAGAGATGTCTATCTGTTGGTCTGTCTGTGCAGATCAGTATCTCAATTTTGACTGAACCGGTTTCCATGAAAATTAATATCTGAGTTTGATTTGGTTATGTCACGGATTAATTAACTTTTGAGATATGTCAGATCTTGTCAACTATCTGGGATATGTTATGGATTTTTATTGAAAAAATCTTAGCCAACTTTAATGCAATTATAATTTTTGGTATGCTTATGAAAGATAAAAGATAATTAAGACTGAAGTTATTTGGAACTTCAGCTAATAATAAAAATTTCAATAAATTATGAATTTAAAAAATTATGGAAAATTTATTGTAAGTTTCTATAGTAACCAACCCTTTTCAAGTTTTAAGAGATTTCAAAATAATTTAAAGAAATTTTCAATTAAGTAAGAAAATAATTATGCTCATTACTTTATATATATATATATATATATTTATGTGTATATGTATTTTTTCATCAATATTATATACAAATCTTTATAAGATTTTAATTATTTCCTTCTTTAATAAATTATTCAATTTTAATTAAAAAATTATTCCCTTTAGATCAATATTCAATTTGAAATTCTTAGAATTTATTTTCTATTATTTTTTTTTGTTCTTGTTCATTACTGACTGCTAAATTATCAGAAAAATTTTCCGTATAAACTTTTTCTTTTTTCTATTTTTCTTTTTAAAACAAAAAACCTTAAGATACCACAAAAGAAAAAGTATTCCATTTTAATGCCAGTTTTTTTTTCTTCCTCTTAATATTTCAATATAGTCCTTTCGATATCATTTTAAAAATTCATTTTAATTTACATTCTGTGTGAACTTAACTTACTAACCTAGTAGATAATCCTTTTGGTTTAAAAAAAGAAAACAAAAATAAGTAAAAACAAAAAAAATATTTTCCCTAACTGGGTGAAGGATATTAATAATTCAACTAAATATGCTGAATTGGTACTATGAATTTTTTATAGATATTTAAATTCAGATATAGGCACCAGTAATATTTCCTCTCCTTCAGTTTCATAAGTATTTCTTATTCTATCTCAATGATATCCTTTTATAGAAAAAAAGAAAAAGTCTTTGCAACATTATTGATATAATAATGATAAAATCATCATATAATCATTATCATTATCAAAAAAAAAAAGGAATATCGATTATCATCTTTGATGCACTTGTATAAATTAATAATTTTTAGAGATTTCTTTTCAATTTTATGGGTAATTATCTTACATATATTATATGTATATATATTTGAAGAATATATATTATTTTTAATGAATTGTTAATAAGAAGGTTGTTCAGATAATAACAGTGATAAGTCAATTATATTTTAAATTTAAATTGAGAGTGCTTTGGTTTTAATAGATTACGAGAGGGGCATATGGTAGTAACGTACTTTTGAAATATGGTTGTTAAACCTGGATGAGGCGTCAATATTTTAGTCATTTGGATTTTGGACAAGTTTATTTATAAATTTATAATTCCTACGCATTGAACATTCTAAAAAATCATTTCTTATTTTGTGTGAAATTTAACGCAAAAAAATTAAATATCGTTTATATTGAAAAACGAATATTCAAAAAAGTTTACTCTAATTCGACCTTCATCTGCAATTCGCAGTTTTAGATTTGAATTCCTTTTAGTTGATTTAGTTTTTCCAAATTTTCTTAAAACTAAAATGCTAAAGGTAAATGGCAAGTCATCAGGAAATATGGTTATTTATTAGTAATTTACTCAATTAACCGTCGAATTCAACCAATATTTTAACGCTTTTTTTGAATTTTGTTCCTTTCATCCTAAATGTAGGCAATATTTTTATATACATGTTTTGGTATATGAATTAAAGTATGTAATTTAAATAATGCACCACATTGCTGTTAAAAGTAGTATATTAACTTATTTAAGGGAAAAGTGCTACTGTACAAACCCTTTGGTTTGAGCAAACCTTATTTTCATACAGAATTGCTTAAAAACGTTAAGAATTGAAACGACGGATCACTTAAAGAATTTGGAGTAACGCGAAATTTCGGAAATTTGCTTATATTATACAATAAATAACGAAATATTTTATTGAGAAAAAGTTAAAGAATTATTTAAAGAGTCCAAAAAAATTTATCAAAAATATTTGAAGCTATCAAATAAGATTCTAGTTTCCTATTTCGTCACATTTCAGCTACTGCTACATTCAATAAATATCATGTTTTTTTACTTAATACCATATATCCTTCTGTAATTGAACTTTTGAAAATTGTAAATCTTTAATGTCTAAGAATTGAAATGTTGATACCAGCATTTTATTAGTAATGGATAAGGATCGGTACCCAAAAGTTTTTCAAACTATGCCTTCATATTTACTTTTTTTCTTTTTTTAAATATTTTCTGTTTGCACGATTTGATTTTCATATCTTAAGTGAATAATTTTTTTTTGTGGAATGCTTCATTAAATTTGAATATTTGGAATTGGCACAGATGTTGCTCACCTTTTTTACTTTATTGTACTCTTTATGTTGTTTTTATGATTGTTGTAAAAATATTTTTTTTTTATGATTGAAATGATAAGTCGACTTGGTTTTGTTTCCTTTTTCTGTTTCGTTTTGATTTTAATTTTCCTCGTACTTTTGCTTTTTTTTTTTGTTCAACCTACAAATTTTCCTCCTACAACCATTGGATTTATGTGTATTACATGAGAAAAGATGTTCAAGATTGTAATAGATAATTTTTTTTTTTGTTTTTTTTTTTGTATTATAATTTGCATAAATATTAGATTATTTTTGCAATATATATAAATGTATATATACATATTTTGTAGATGGGGGCATATGAATTGATTTAAATTATGAATGGATGAGAAAAAATTGGGTCTGTTTAAAAATTTAGATTTTTGATGTAAATATGACCGAATTACTTTGCTCAATCTATAATGTATAAAGCAATAAATTTAATATGATAGGATTTTCTAATGGTATAAGATTTTTGGGTTATTGAGCACAATCAAATAAGGTGTGTTTGTATATGATGTACTGCGGTTATTTTTAAATTCCACTTTAAAATATTGAATTCGTCATGTGTTGTATTCACCTATGAAATCAAATTTTTATAGTTGGAAGCATAAGGATTTTTTTTATATTTCGTAATTTAGGTTTATTGTAATATAAATCATTTTTTAAAGATATTTTCCTTGAGTTACAAATAAAATTCCATTAAAAAGAGGAGAATCTAAGTATTGAGGAAATAAAAATACTAAAGCAAAAGCTTAATCAGCATAAGAAAGTTTTTTGATTGGAAAACATGATTGGAAAATAATATTTTGTGCTGTCACCGTTGTTGGATTAGAAAAATAATGAAAATGTGAAAACATTTTTTAATGGAAGGGTCTTTAGCGTTATTGGTTCTTTTTCAGACTTGTTATTTAGTTATAGAATTAGTGTAATAAAACTAACTGTCTTAATTATTCCGAAATAGTCTAATAAAACTAAGAGAATTCATTTGTTTTCGGTCATTATTCGCTATAACCGAATCATAGTTGCACGAGCCCTTATACAAATTAATAAAGAATTTCTTTACAAATAACTCTTTAGTATACAGCCAAACAAAATGCACTGATTGACTAATCTAGTTCTGTATGGAATATATGTAAACATGTATGTGTCATTCAAATATATACGTTGGGAATACTATTGTTAAGAACGACCAATATTTTATTAACAAGAACACGCACAACTGTTTGTTCAATGTAATGACGTCATGCCGTTTTCGTTACTGCCGAAATATGACAGTAACCGTTGCCACTCGCCACTCATAACTGTGAATATAGGAATACCTCTATATCTTTAAATTATTTATTAGAGTAAAAAGTACTAAAATAGAACAATAAATATCAATAAATCTTAAATATTTAATGTAAAAAAAAGCTACGGTATTCTCGCCACCTTTCAAGAAAAATTTAATGACGCAAGAAATTGGACTATGGTTATTTACCATACAATGCACGAGCCCTATACTCCTCCCAGGAGCGAAGTAGGATTAACAAAAAAGAAATACTAAGAAGATTTTTAATTTATAGCTAATAATTTAAATTTATTTTACTGTTATTAAAGCGGTTTCATAAAACTTTAATAAATTTAAAATATCAAAAATTTAAAAAATTTTCAATCAAAAACAAATTTTTTAATGAAAAAAACAAAAAATAAAAGCAATAAAACTTACCAATGGTGGTTTATCACCTAGACGTCTGCAATTATTCATCTCTGTTGGTGAATTATCCTCTTCAGAGCTGGGTGATTGTGGACTTTGTTGTCCAGCATTATCACCATCACCGCCACTACTACTATCACTATTTGCATTGCTATAAAAAATAAAAAACAAAATGGAAGAAAATCATTTATAGTTACTGTTTTTTTTTTTTTGAACTGGCTATGAATTTCAGATATTTTCGACTAATAAAAAACAAAAAAAGAAGTTGTTTTTGTTGTTTGTGTTAAAAAAAAATGCATGAGATAAAAAAAAATTTTTGAAATATATCCAATTAGCGAAACATTTCAATCAATTTTTAAAATAAAAATAACATGTTTGTATGTTTATTTGTATATTCATTTGTATATATATACGATTCGTATATATGATGGGGGTTTAAATGCATTTTTAGCATCACATTTTTTACCATGTTTTATATAAGTTTGGTACAGCGTGCAGCTAATAAAAAATTTAAACTAAATTTTGTTTGAATTTTAAAATTATGTAAAAATTAAAAAAATTTGAATATTGTGGGTAGTTGGTACAGTTAAGTAGTCTTGCATAGCGGAAACCTTTAAGGAAATAAAATCTTTTGTTGTTAAAGAATTGAGATTTGTTATAATAAATTTGACACAATTCTAATTAATAGTGGATTTCAATTTGTTTGTCATTAATTTTAATTATATAACAATTTGCTTAATTGCTTTTGTAAAATTTATGTAACATAAAATTAGAAAAATTCTATAGGTAACTGGGGTAAGTCAACAACATTTTTTAGTACATTTTCCCGTTACTACTTCGGTTTAGTTATTTGAAGGAAAATTTCGAATTGCACGTGCCATTAAATGTAACAAGTCTAACGGATTGCACTCAAAAACGTAAATTTTGCTTTAATAATTTTACGTTATTCTTTTTTGTTGTAAAATAAGAAAATTTTTTGTAAATTTTCCATGATTAGCACAAAATTTTTCTATAATTTTCTTTAATGAATTGTTTTTACATTTATTAGGGAAAGGGCGTTTCTACATTTGCAAGTAAAATTGCAAGGACGTTTCTACATTTCAGCTAAATTTATTTTTAATATTAAATACTTAATTTTTTTGTAACAACGGCAACCCGTGTTGTAGGAAACTGAGAACTTATACATATACATGTAGATTATTACGTGCATTAAGAAATCTTATAAGTTAAAATTTTTTATTATGAACTTTCATGAAAATTTTTTGTTGCCTGTAATGCTAATTTTCATATTAAATTATAGTATTTCGAGGACTTGTTGCATTAGGGTCCAAATAAAAGAATTCATAATAAATTCATTACTTTCTTTTACAATTTGCTGCTATTCTAATAGATTACGAATTTTTTATGGTTTACACTGCTTTAACAATTTATTGCTCTGAGTTGCTTGTGTCAAACTAAATTTAAATCAACTATAATTAAATTGCATCGAATATATTTTTCCTGTTTTCGGTTTACATTGTATTACTTGTATATGTAACATTTTTTTTAAAAAAGATATTCCACTAATCAATAAAACTCAATGATATTTAAGATGAAAAATAACAATCCTTTAAACGGAAAAAAAACAACTTCGAATACAAAACTTTATCAATAAAATTAATTTTTTGTGTTATTTTTTTTAAACATTATAGTGCTGCAGCAACGTAAGTATTTATGTATTGAAAAGCCAACAAAAAATTCTCAATAAAATAGAAAACATAAAAAAATTTTTACGTATTATTAAAAACTGCAACAAAATACACTTTAAAAAAAAAAAACAAAAAAAAAAAATTAAAAAGGACAAAAATCCATAAAAACTTACTTGCAATGATTATTTTGTTGTTGTTGCTGTTGAAATAGATGAATTGGTCTACAATTCTGTAATCTATTTGGTGATGCATGATGATTCAATTGCAATTGATGTACTAATGAATTATGTTGTTGTTGTTGTTGTTGTGCAGCTACTGCTGCCGCTGCTGCTGCAACTGCTACTGCTGCTGTTTGTTGTTGCTGTTGTTGTTGTTGTGTAATTGTTACTGTTTGTGCTGTTCCATTATTCGTATTTGATGATGGTGATGATTGAAGTTCAAAACGTAATCGGACGTCTTGCATGACGTCAAATCTTCTATTAATCCTATTATCGTATTTATTTTTATTTGTATAATTATTTGTATTATTATTATTGTTATTATTGTTGTTGCTACTATTATTATTATTATTTACAAAGTTACTGCTTATCACTTTAATGTTATTTGGAAGCTATAACAAAAAAATATGAAAAATTAAATTTATAAAAGAAAATTTATTTATTGTTGCAATATTTTTAAATTGTTATGTATTATTATTAATATAACAGAGTGTATGGGTACACAGTGTGTTTATTATTTTTTAAGAATGCAGTATCTAGCCCTAAATTTGTTTTTTTCAATAGATTAATAGTGTCTTCGGTATTTGGTGCAATTTGCAAATATTGCAGTCAAAAACAAAAATTATTTAAAATACAAGATTGCTAAAATTTTTATTATCTTGAATTGCAAACAAACAGCAGTTCTATACAAAATTGTAAAAATTTTAAAGAAACAAAGTAAAAGTTGTACTTGAATTATTAAAACTTTTCAACTTTTCGATTGAAATTATTCCAATCAATATTTTTGGAAATATTAATGACTCATTTGAATATTTCTATGAATCACTTTGTTTAGACTCATACTTCTATATAAATGTTATTTCGTTACGTTACCAAAAAATTTTTCAAAGACATCAAAGTTTTCAATTTTCTTTTTCAAAAATCGTGTTTCCTATATTTTTCACAATTCAATATGAACGAATTCTGTATGAGAATATCTACATATATTACATTCCATTTGAAAGAGGTGTTACTCAATTTTTATATGGATGGTATAGAAAACTAAAATTCTGATTCTGTTTATGAAATTATTAACAAAAGTTTTCTTAATTATCTCAAAACTTTCACCACTTTAAATTTTCTTTAAACGTTTTCTCGAAAAAAAAAAACATTTGATTTTCATTGAAATTGGTGCTAAAATGAAGTGATGAAATTATTTAAACCTAATTGAGTGTTTAAAATTCTAAAAATTAAATATTTATAACTAATTTGAAAATCAAGAAACCCATTGATATTTTTCTGGGAATACTATAGTTGAGCTTTTGCTTTTTTTGCAAAATTCTTCAAAACATCACAATTCATTTAATAAGTGTAATATATTGGTATTAGTTTTAATTTTGTTAGACATACTGTGAATACAAAATATGTAAAAGAAAATATATAGATATTATGCGTGATTAAATACATTCGCTTAGATATAATTATATACACATAAATATGCGTGCGTATACATAATATCCTTTAAGATATCCTTTCAACTATAAGATCATTAATATTACGTATTTTTTTTCATTTCATATACCCATCATTGTACAGACATACACATATACAAATAATACATATTGAAATTCTTTAATCAATTCTATTAAATGACAAATTACAAATTGAATTGATTGACAAGGAATGTATTTTAATTTTTTTCTTTATTTTTTTTTTATTCAGTCTCGGATGAATTTTATTTGTTAAGTCTATGTTTCGTATATAACTTTTATGTCCTGTTTTATTTATTACTCTCTGTTATGCCTACAGGATTATGTATTGTATACATATATATATACACATAATATATACAGATAACAGATATAAAAATGTATAAATATTTTACAATTATAGTGTGGCTAGTTTTTTTCCTCTTTTTATAAAATATGGGAAAACAAGTCAAAAAAAAAATCTATTTAAATATTATTGTCGCAAAGGCAATATCCATTCTTTTTATAATATTAAAGTCTAACAATAAGGATATCAAAATATTACAAAAAAAAAAGAAAGAGAGAAGGATATAAATAGAATATATACGATAGAAAATATACCAAAAAAAAAGGAAAATTAAAAAAAAAAAAATAAAAATGCTGAAAAAATAAGTGAAAGAAAAAATTTTTTTTTTGTTCAGAAGGATAAAAATGATAATAAATTATAAATACGACTTCTATTGTTATCCATAAAAAAAAAAAAACTGAAAATGAAAACGAAAACGGGGGAAAAAAAACTCATTGTCTGGGGTTTTTCTAACTTTCTTTTATAGTGTTATTGAAGAAGAACTACAACAAGAACAAAAATAACAACAGAGAAGATAGTACAAAAAAAAAAAAATTAAAGTCAGGCAGGACTATTGTTTGAGAAAAATATTGTGGAAAATATTTTTAATGTGAAAATTTTTTCAATATTTTCTTTATATTTTTTATTTTTTTCATAACACTATATTTTTGTTATAGCTATGAATTTTCTTTCTTATATAACCAACCTAACACATATTTTTTCTCATTTTACGTTATGAAGATTATGTGTGTATGTATGTATGTCTTCATAGGTATATACACTGGTAACTAATAAATAAATTCTGGTCTTGTGTACAGATTCGATTTTTAAGGAAATTTTAAGGAAAATTTTTACTTTTATTTTTCTTTTATGTTTTCTGAAATTTTTGTTTTTTTCTTTGTTGCCACCTTATTTTCTTTTTTCCAAAAATTAAAATGAACGTGATGTTTTCCTAAGTAAGTATAAGTTGATTCTGTATGATGAAAATATAAATTGAGAATGATAATTGGAAAATTTCAGGTATATTTTATTAAGAAAATTTTGTTACAATATTTTGTTTGATTTTATTTGTGCTTCTTGAAATTTTGTGTGTAATTTAAGTCTATAAATAAACTGTGATCTTACTTTTGTAAATAAAGTACATAATATAAAATTAAAGCAAAACAAGAATAGTAAATCGTTTGTTCATGATTCTGAATTTATATTAATGCTTTGTTTCAAGTACGCACACTTTGAAAATGAGAAGAAAAAAATTATTGAGAAAGTTTTAAGAAAGAAATTAGCATTTTGTAATTTTGTTTTTTTTTTTTAAGTATAAATGAAATATAATTTTTAATGATGAGAATTGTTTTCTGTTTTGTTTTTTTTAATTGAAAATTTTGTTCATTATTTTTTTTTGTGAAGGTCTTATTTTCGATATCTTTAATCCTTAAGCCTTTAATGAAATAATAGAACATGTGGGCACATTTGGAAAATATTTTTAAACGAATTTTATTATAAGGGCCTTATCCAGATCGGAAAATGGTATTAATTTATATAAATTTTTGTTTTGACACTATATGATTGGTGAATTCTTTAAATTTTTAAGCGCACGAGTCTCGAAGTAAAAACTTTGTAAGACCCAGCTTGATTAATGAATACCAAATATTTCGAATAAAGAAAATATTTTGAGATTGCGATAATTTAATTTTTGATGTCTTGAATTAGCATTTTAGATTTACAGAATAAAATCATTGGTCGCTCTTGATTTGAAATGTTGCTGAATTCTTCAATTTCAATCGATTCGCTTAGCCATTTACTTCTTTCGTTGTTGTTCTAAGTTTTTATTAAAATCTAAAATATTGTTCAAAATTATTTTATTATGTATCATATTATGTAATATATAATTATGTAGTATATTAGCATTTAAGCAAATGACAGATTTTTAAAAAAATATTTGACAGTAATTCTTTATACAGTAATGGTGATGCATGCCATATTTTTATCAAATTAATAGGTGATATAATATTTTCCACTAAATGAGATTTTGAAGACAAAACAGTTTTTCTATTATAAAGTACCGCAGGAGGAAATTAGGATATACTCAAAGTAGTCGGAAATATGTAGTAATGGTTCGTTTATGTGTTTACGAACTTAATAATAAGATAATTCATTTTTAGCAAGTAAATTACTTTTGAAATCTCTATGCGAAAGTTCAAGCGAATTCTGCATGTATTTGCAAAAGAAACGCAGTTTGAAAATTGCCGTTATATACCGTGAATAAAACAATATAGAATATTCCTGTGTAGCATTTTTTTTTCTAAATATTTATATAACTATACAAGATTTCTTGAAAATATTTTGCCACCAATTAATGTCTTTGTATTAAATGAGGTATCTTTACTTTCCATTTTATGTCGCATCTCTTTTTGGAAACTAAACTGAAAATTTTAAAAATGGGAAGCATATATAATATTTTTATTTTTGAAAATTTTTTTTTTTATCTATTTTCTCATTTGTTCTTTTTATTTTTGTCTAGAAAGGATATTTCATATACCTACATTATATTCTATATATTATAGAAAAGGAGAGAAAAAATTATATGAGAAAAAAAAAGAAAAATAGTTTTAAAAAGAGCCCCCATAAAAATTTAAAATTACAAAAAGCCGGAATAGAAAAAAAAAGTAGCAACAATAAATATAAAATTAAAAAAAGGAGAGAAAAAAAAAACAGAATTAATAAATGAATATGAAATCTAACCTCAACGTAGATGCCTTCTTCCTTATTTAAATTCAAAGAATTGGTATTATTGCAAAACTTTTTCTTTAAAAAATCTTTCATAAAACCATAAATTTTTGACTTTGTCTTCTTTTTTGGTAAAGTACCGACAAACGATGATGGTGATGTTGTTGTTGTTGCTGCCGTTGCCGTTGATAATGAATTTCTTCTTCTTGTTATTGTTGTTGTTGGCAATAATGTAGCTTCCTTATTATATTCGTTAAATTTTTCGTTGACAATGAAAATTTTTGTTTCTGTTTTATTTGGTTGATTTGTTTGGTCCTGCTGCTGCTGTTGTTGTTGCTTATTATTTTGATAATCTTGATGGTAATATTGCTGTAGTTGTTGATGTTTACGGTGGTTATATTTTTGCTGTTGATGATAGTTATATTGGTCGTCGTATAGTCCTTTGATTTTTTCTTCATAAAATATAAGATGGCACGGTTGCAGTTGATTTTTTTCAATTGTTTTATTTTGTTGTTCTTCTTGATATTCTTCTTGTTTTTGTTGTTGTTCTTTCGGTTGTTCCTGATAGTATAAAGATTCTTTTTCTTTATTGAAATAAATTTGTTTCTGTTGCTGTTTTTTTTGCAGTCTGATAATATTCTCGTTTTCGGTTTGACGCTTCTGATGACAATATAATGACGATGACAATGGTACTTCCTGAATTTTTTTATTTCTTTTACTTGAAATGGTAATAATATTATTTGATTCTGACTTATTGTTTGATTTTGTTTCAGTTGGTATGTTTCGCCTTGGTGTTGATGACGATAGTATTGTTGTAGATGAAGCTTTACTATTTGCAATGGATATTGTGGAAGATTGATGTAACAACGTTGGTAAAAGAATTTTTGTATTGCTATTAGAAATTGATAAAGGCGGTGATGATGGACGATCGTAATTGTATTTGTGGGGATGATAACGATAGTATGTGTTTGAATTAATAATATGATTTTCACTAATGTGACTATCGCTATTACAACTTGTTGTATTTGTTTTAATTTCACAATTTGTTGTATTATTGATAAAAAAATTGGCAAAATTTTGATTTTGTCCTTGGTTATTAAAGTATCCGGTTTGATGGCAAAAATTATAAAGAACTGGTTTATGATAGTTTGAATGAGGAGTTGAAAATTTGAAATTTTCTCTTGTTGATGATTTTCGTGGTGGTGGTGGTGGAGGTGTTGGCTGTGGTGTTTGTCGTGGTGATGGTATACGTCGCTGTAAGTCGGGCGATTGTAATGATCGTGATGTAAGATGACTTTTTTTTTCTGATTCAATAGGTGGTGCTGTTGGTATACGATTGTTGATGGTTTGATCTGGTAATTGTAATAAAGATAATTTTCTATTTGCTGATGTTGTTGTTGCTGTTGCAGTTGTTGCTGTAGTTGTTGTTTGAGTTGATTTATTAAAAGTTGAATTTTTATATTTATAATTATTTTGATGGCTAAATTCTGTAATAATATCACTATTTGTTTCTTTGCTATTGATGATCCTTGTGATTTGTGGATTATTATCCTTTTTAACATTCTTTTTATAATAATAATAATTATATTTACTTGCATATTCTTCTTCCTGATATTTATGTATGAGATTACATTCTGTTTCATTATATTTATTTTTATTTTTAGAAAATGTTTTCTTAAGATTATAACTGCTACTACGATTTTTACATAAAGATCGATTCTTTTTTGCAACAGTATTGGTGAGAGTATTTGTGGTGGCAGTGTTACTAATAATAATATCAGTACTAGGAGAATGTAATAATGTATGGTCAGTTCTAGATGTTGGTATTACTCCTGCTACATTTGTTGTTTTTGTATTATAATCATTTATAATAGACGGAGAATTTCTAATAATGGGTAATGATGATGAAGATGGTAATGATGATGGTATAATATCAGTACCATTTGTTGTAATATAACTATTTGTTATTTCTTTCTTATTATCACAATTATTACTATAGCTGCTTCTATACTCTTTTGTTGCTGTTGTTGTTGGGCCTTGTGTTCCTGTTGTTATCACGTCATTTTTAATACTCTGCAATAAAATGTAATGAAAATTGAAATTAATTTTCTTTTATTATTAAAATATTATATAGAATTTACTGTATATATTTATTGTTATACATGTTATACATATTTATATTCATTGACTACCACTTTATTCTTACAAATATTCTTATATTTGTTCTAAGAATATGGAATAAATTTTCTGAATTTGAGCAAAGGAAATAAAAAAAAAGTGGGAAAATAGGGGAATGTTACGTATTTAATATATATATATATATATATATGTACACTTACTGATATATAGAGATGTATATATCTTTTTTAATTTTCTATTTTTATTGAAATTGAAAAAAATGGGATTTCATTCTCAATTCTTGTGTCAAAGAAGATGAAGGGATGACTTTATTGCAAACAATATTGAAAAAAAAAAATACAACGAAAAAAAAAATAAAACGGGAGAAAAGCTTTTTAAAGAAATATTTGGAACAATAATACACAAGGACTATAGATTTTCCTGTATTTAAAAGTTAAATAACAAGAAAACTGATGTGATTCTTTATCTAAAAGTGAAATTAAGACTTAATATGAAAAGTTAAAGTATATAACAAAGAAGGGAGTCATTTTTCTTAATTTTGAAGATGTTTTGATGCAGAAGAACATTGATTTGAACAAGGAGTGGAATTTTATATTAATTTTAACAAGTATGATATCAATGTATATTAGCAATAGTAATAAGTATGAATTCGCCTGAATGAATGTTCTTTTATTTAAAGTTTTTTCTATGATTCAAAAAAATATTATACAAGTTCTAGTATTTCTATAGTTTTTTTAAAGTGGAATAATTTAAAATATTTTTGCTAGTATTGCTATAGATGAGTTTTTATAAACAATCACAATCAGGGTATTAATTCATTGGAGAAACCTCTGATCGAAGATATTATGAAATGCAATCAAATGAACGTGATAACTAATGAGTAATTTTCAAAATCATTATCAAATAAAACGAAATAATTTCAATAATTTAGATGTGATAGATAATTTTGATGAGTATTTAAGTATTTTTTTAATTATTAAATCTTATTCAGAAGAAAATATTTTTCCGATTTTCAATTGTGGATGATTAGTAGTACTATTCGTGGACCTTTTTCGTTCTCGCTAGGTAATAAAATTCTTAAAATAATTTCTCAAATATGTTTTTTCCCGAAAATATAGCTATACTTAATTTGATGTAATGGAGACGAATGCTATGTAATATTACTCTAGGATTGATGTTCCGTAAATAAATATTTAAAGATCGGAATATTGGTATAAATTTCATCAATATTTATAACAAATATCGAATGAATTAAAATCTTTTGAATTAAAGCTGTTAATTCTAAGTTGTACAATAAATAAAGAAATAAAATTGGAGCAAATAATAAAGGATATTATATTCTTTATATATTGTATATTCTAGGATATTATATTCTTTATATATTCATTATATTCTTTGTATATTGTGCCCCCATTATAATGTAAAGAATAAATATAGAATAAAAGGATGAAGTAGAAAAAAAAATCGGATAAATGATTTCAATTATCCTTAACAAAGTGGATCTTTTTTATTCTTGTATTTGAGAAAAAAAAATATTCTTTTTTTTTCTTTTATATTTAATATTGTATTGGAAGATATATGCGATTAAACGAATTAAATAAGGAAATAAATATTTTTAGTAAATGAAATAAATAAATAAAAGAGAGGTTCAAAAAAAAAGTCTCTTGATATTAATTTGTTATATCATATATATATTCACACATACATACACAAGTATTCTAGTAAATTATTGTAATCATGAGAATTTATAACTCTACTTGAATTTTGAAAATTTTAGGCAATGTATGTGTGTATTTTGAATTATTTTTATATTTTCTTTTTTTGAAAAATTATGACGAACATATACATTCTATATGAGGCTGAACACATATTAGTGGTCTATCGAATATTTTTGCAAAAATAAGTTATTGTGTTCAATAGAGGTGTAATGGCCTAAAGAATTGTTCTATGTTTTCAAAACCATTAGTTTACTCTTTTTGTTTTATTTTCATATAACTTCGTTTTTGCATTTTAAAAATTTTCTTAAAAATTAAATATTTAAATATTTCTATTACAATTTACTTGTTATTTTTACGGGTAGGCCACTAATTTGTTGAGCGCCTTATATGTGCGTGTATAAAAATTCCTAAATATTTTATTTTATATAATTTTAAGTTCACAAATTTTCAGCAAATTCATAATACTAGTATGTCGTCACTCATTAAGGAAATTTTTAATTTTAATTTTATAAAAATTTAATAAAAATTCTATTAATTGATCTATTATTTGATATAAAACTCTATTAATTGATAGCGAGTAATAACACGCACCATTTTGGTCATATGAATGCAATTAAATTATATGAATTTGTTCATATGAAGAATTCTCGAATTTTTATATACATAAATAGCCTTTGCTTAAGGTTTGAGTTTTCATATGCTCTGACAATTCGAAATTTCTTTCGTTTGACCAAAAAACTCATAAAAAATTTAATACTATGTAGAATGATAAATAATCCAATATTACTTAAAAAGATTAAATTTTCAGATTTGAATTCGATTATTCATCAATACAAGCTATAAGTGCAGTAAATGTAATTGCTATCCCTATATTTAAAGTATTATTTGAAATTTCCTTTTTGACAAAATATTTTTAATTTAAAAATGAAATTATATCACAGTACATAAATATTTTTCTCTCTTTGTTTCTTTTAAAAAATCCTATTAAAAAATAAAAATAAAATATTTTTTTTTAATGCATTTTTACATTAATAAACGATTTTATGCATACATTATTATAATAGGGAATGATTTAAATTTAAAATAATATTATTGGTACTTATTTTTTAAATTAATTTTCAAACAAACAATGTATGCACAATATACATAATATGTATATAGTAATTTAAATGAAAGGATAATAAAATATTATGTGTGTACATGTAAAAGAAAATTTATTTATTGTCCTCTTTTGAAATTAACTTTTATATTGTAACAAAGCGGGAGAACAAAAAAAAACAAAACAAAAGGAAAACAAAAAAATTTCAAAATTACTCCTATAAATTTTTCATTGTGTATTTTTAAAGTGTTCCTATTTTTGTAATGTCCTTTTATCCTCTATATACTCTTTATACTCTTTATACTCTTTAAATTTGCTTTGTTCTCTCTCCTGATTTTTTGTCTTTTCATTTACCATTATGTTAATTTACAATTATTTGTATTATGTGTCTTATCCTCTTTTACTATCCAAAATTTTATGAAATTCTATTGTTACTGTTATTATCCTTGTGTTGTGCTCAAAACATTACAGCGAACGTTAACCAATGTTAACGGTAAGAAGAACAAAAATAAACAAAAAAAGTTCAATTTCAATGAATTTTAACCAAAAAATTCGAAATTTGTTTTTTTGTTTTGTTATTTCCTTTTTGTTTTGCTTTTGTCTCTCTCATTTTTAACACTTTTATTTATTTATTTCTTTTTTGTTTTTTGTTTGTTTGTTTTTCTTTTTGTTTGTTTTATTAAAAAATTCCTTCACACAATAATAATTTAACTTTTTATTTTTATGTATACATAATATGGAATTGGTGTACGTGTTCGGCTTTTATATGTGATTTAAAATGGAATAATATTGTAAGGGGGGGGGGGGGGGGGGAGGGAAGCCGATTGACGCAATACAACGATAAAAACGCATATATACGTTTGATATAGGGGGTGGGCTAGGAAATATTTTGTACTTATATTTCTTAGGTAATTTCCTTAAAGATAGGAAAGTATTTTCTTTCAACTTTAAATTTTTAATATTTGAACTTGGACGTATATGATTTAGTCTAGAGTAAGCATAATGCGCAATTATAGAACATACAAAACAAATATAGATTGTAATTCTAAATGCATAGTCTCTAAATTCAAATATAATGCCGAATTAAAACTATACTACTACACATTTTATAAAAATTATTTATTTTAGTTTTTATTCAATCAGCTTTTTATCAGTGTCTTGTTACTTTATTGGGGAAAAAAAACACCGCGTATTTTGTAAATTTAAATGTGTGCCTATATTAAAGCATTATATGTATAACAATATTGTAATAAATTTTACTTAATATGTATACATATAAATACATGTACGTATGTATGTATGGCGACATATTTTGTATAATAAATATTTTTTAATATAAATCCATTTTATGTTTTGTGTTATTGTATCTTAAAGCAAGGATATCAGATTAAATTAATTTTTTTCTCTTCATTTAATTTGTTTTTGTTGTTATTGTTGCTTTTGTTATTTTCAATGTGACACAATATTGTATACATATGTATGTATATAAAATTAAAATTTATTAGAAAAAGTGTAGGCTAAGGTAAAATTACATATAATTTGTCTTAAACAAAAAAATTTATGATCAAAATAGACTTTGTAGGATTGCGGATAAAATGAAAATGATAAGAAAAAAAAACTGAAAAGGAAAAGTAATTTACTTAAGTTTTTTTTTGTGTGTTGTTGCTGTTGCTATTTTTAGTATAATTTTGTTTATGAAAGAATGTTATGGATTAGAACATATTTTGATTAATGTTATAATTATAATTAAAAATATATATTAGGAAAAATGATAAAAAGTATAAATTTACTGTTATTGTTTATTAAAAATAAGAGTCTTATATAAATATAAATGCATATACACACGATTTTAGAATTTTCTTAGAGATGAAAGGCAGAAAATTTCAAGCTAATATTAAATAATTTTATTCATTTAAAGAATATTATTTTCCGAATTTTCCATTTTTAACACTTTCGTCAAAAATTTTATTCATCATTGATTTGACCATCCTTGAGTTTAAAGCTCAATTTAAAGAAATTTATTTCTAGGTAGGGTTGAATTCAAAAATTGTGTAAATCATTTAGAGAATTCAAATTTGTACTCTGATTGTTCTTTCTCGATGCAAAATTTGTCTCCT